AATAACAACCAACTCTCAAACATGACACCGGCTTTGAGTGTGACCGGCTGATGATTGGCTGTTCTGCCTTAAGTCCCGCCTCTCTTGGTGTGAATTACTGGAGTAATAGCATAACTTAGGACAAAAGAACAGAGATAAAAAATAAACAAATTACATGATTCGTCTAGTAGCGATCTCCGCTCGTGAAAAGCGCTTCCCTGTCCGTTTGATCGCCGCTCAGCAGACACACGAAACGAGAGGCGCCGCGATCACTGGTGCTCGCCTCATCATAACTGTGACCGCTGCTGTTAAATATTCCTCACTTCTTTTGTTTGTCCGACACCGAGGTGCACCATGAGTGACGGATCCGCATCCCGCTACGACCCTCGCACTCTGCCAACTCCGTGTGCTTTCATTTGAATTTTAATTAGTGATAAACACCTCTCTGAGACCTGTTTTTGTCAGATCTCCATTGTTTTTGTTCGATCAGTTACATATTTTAATTGAATTTTTTAAAAAACCTCCATTAACCCTTAAATGCATGAATGTTTCTCCAATCATTATTACTGGTACATATTCTGGTCTTTAGCGACCCGGATTTGATATATCCAGCACGGATGGATCTCTAGCTGCTGCAATAGCAAATAACTCTCTTGATATTTTAAGAACAATTACAGATGAATAAAATAAAGCATATTTCGTTACCTTTCGAAACTTAAAAGGGTTTGAGCAGATGATTTTACCATCGCTGTCATCGTCAGAGCGCACTTCCACAGTAGGCCTACATTCAGCATCTGCCTCATATTCACTATCGTTTTCAATGACTTCATATTCAATATTTTGATCACTGGCAGCTTATTCACCACATCCAGCATCAAATGACAGTGACATTTATATTTCATTGCATATAGTAATTGCTCTGCAGTAAAGCCATTCAAACCACTTCAATTTTTGCTGATGATATTAGTTTGTTGTATGCCTGTGGTAATTATAAGTGAAACGTCACGTCATTATTGTGTATCAAACAGTGCCACCTTGAGGAAAAAAGATGCATTGCACATATGGAGTCATCAGATATGTAAATATAGTTGCGCAGGAAAACAATACTTACACATTTACATACCTCGGGTCTCTAGCACACTTTTTACAAAAAAAATTATCCGTTTTTTTTTCTTGTTATAGGCTATTGTTTATAATTAATAGATTGAGGAATACTAAGAAAGTTGATTTAAAAAAAATTAAGGAGGGAGATGGTAAAGAATGATGTCCCGGGTCGCTAAAGACCCGAGGTATGCATTTAAGGGTTAAGTTTAAAGTTAATCCATAATTGAGATTTAAATCTGAGTTTAAAGTTATGTGCAACAGGATTAAAGTTAATCTTAAATATAATTTAAATCCGATCAAAATGATGGGTTAAAAATGTAAACCTGCTTATTTTTAAAGGTTTGAAGTTTGGTGCAACAGAATTATTAGATAAACCTTGATTTAATCTAGATTTAAAATTAATCATTGCAAACCACTCAGCTATAATTTGAAGAAGAAAAATGCACATTAAGCCTAATGTCTGAAGTGAGCAAGTGGCAATAGGCCTAATGATCATTTAAAATATAATTTGAAGAAGTGTTTCTTTCAAAAAACGAGTGTTGCATATATAACTATAAAATATAGGCTTCTCAATTTTTCTCCCTCTTGCAGGCTCTCATGTCACTTTCATTTCTTTCAGGATAAATGAATGAATTCACATGTTGTAAATTAGTCTGTAGGCCGATAGCGCACACAGCCCCTAAATTTAGCGATCAGCTATGCATAATATAAACTTAACATTTAACATACAACATTTTTTTCTATTAAATTATTTTGTCTTTGTTACTCTTAGTTATAAAGGATGGTAGCACAGCATTTTTGAATGATTGTCTTCATGAGTTTGTCTGCATCCATATTGCATGTTTCCTCTCACTTGCAAAGTATGCTTGTAGTCATTTCTTCGAGTTCTTTCAAAGCAGTTCTTTCTGCGTTTCCGCTCACATATTTTTAAATCTTTTTCATTGAGGTTCCAAATAATGTCTCATTGGCTTAGATATAACACCTAGAAGCATATATTCTTATACACACATCCAAAGTATGTTGCAGCTGTTATTTCTATGAAATTATGTTGTCTTTGCTATTCTGTTACTAATAAAATAGTTTTTTTTCACTGCTTATCCTATTTTGGCACAATCCCTAAATTGAACTTGAGTAGTTTTACTAAGGGCACCCATCTCACATGAAATTGAACTATGTCAAACATATTCTACCTGCCTTCCTGATATAAATTATTATGAATTTGATATGGTAATTAATACTGAGAGACTAATTTGGGCAAAAATCACTAATGACTTGTTTAAGACTTGACTCGGGACTTGGCTGTCTTGACTTGGGACTTGACTCGAGACTTGAATGCAAAGACTCGAGACTTACTTGTGACTTGCAAAACAATGACTTGGTCCCACCTCTGCCTGTTAGACTTAATCATTTTTGGATGTGTGGGAAGGTGTATAAGTAATGTGTCCAGTTTTTCTCCAGTTGAACTGTAAAAAAAATAAATAAATACATGTAACATTTACGTAATGCTTCAAGTTTTTTTAATATGTAATATGGTTTTAAACAGTCATGTTCATATTGCTAATTGTATTTGATAAATGACACTTACAGTATGTAAATTGGGGTGAATGAACTTTGTTGAACATTTCTGTTAATGAATAGAGATAATGTCCCCTCTTGTGTCTGACCTGTTGTTACAGGTATGTTAGCCTGGATGTGGGGATGTATTATTAATTAATTTGTTAAAAGCGTGTTCCCCTTGTGTGTCTGACCCAGCCATTGGTCTGACCTGCCCTGTTATTGTTACAGGAATAAATGGTTACCGAGTAAGTATTTTTTATACAAGGAGAGTTTTCATCTATATAGCTGACTTGACCTAGTCTGCTACAGTGGCATAACAGATTAACAGCAGAGTATATCATTGTACTTTTTGAATTTTCTGTTATTCTGTGTTCATACTATCATATTTGGAAAGGTGGTCCTCTGAATGTTTTTAAACAGTCATTGGTGGGCCATGAGTTGCAAAAGGTTGAGAACCCCTGCTGTAGCATACTGTAGCAGTAATTCCATTTCTTTGAATAAATTCACAGTAACATTTATTAGATATATGGCAGTGGATCAACTTAAGTATATTCGTGACTTTTTATAAATACCTCTCTGCACTACTCCAAAAAATAACACTTTTTGAATTTTTTTTTATCTGCAATGGACCAGTGCAGATTCCAAAATCTCTGCATTTTAATATGTATTTATTGCATAAATTCTAATTGGAATGAGTGCATAAATCTATAATTGTTTCAGTGAAAGACATTCAGTAAATTTCTCTGGACTATTTTATACATTTTAGACATGTGGCAAAGTATGGTGACCCATACTCGGAATTAGTGCTCTGTATTTAACAGTGCTCTGTATTTTTTTAGTGCTCTGTATTTTTGCATGGGTTAAATGCAAAGTAGTGCATTTAACCCATCCACACACACAACAGTGAACACACACACACACACACTGTGAACACACACCCGGAGCAGTGGGCAGCCATTTATGCTGCGGCGCCCGGGGAGAAGGTGGGGGTTCGTGCCTTGCTCAAGGGCACCTCAGTCGTGGTATTGAAGGTGGAAGAGAGCGCTGTACATTCACTCCCCACACCTACAATCCCTGCCGGTACGAGACTCGAACCCGCAACCTTTGGGTTACGAGTCCGACTCTCTAACCACTAGGCCTTTTTTTTTATGCAGTCGAGATTCCCACATTTGGGGAATTCGCAGGGGCCAGCACAACCAGAGTGCAATGGCCGAGCCTCACCTTGGGTGAACCACCTTCTTGATTATGGTGTCTCCCCTGCCAGGTAAGTATCACTGTCAGTGATTACTTGTTTTTTTGGCTACAAATGTGTTATTTGGACGAATTTAAGTTCTCTCACAAACAGCATGTGAACTTCATGTACAAAAACTCAAAAAAGAAAACGTAAAGATATATTTGCAGTGTGAATATAAAAAAAATTAAAAATGCAAGAAATCTGTATGAACCTTACAAATCATATGACACAAGCATCTTTTACCATCATAAACAATGAGAAAAGCTCACAGGAACTGTGATTATTTCAAATGAAATAAATTATATTTTGCTTAAAGTAAATAAAGCCTGTCCTAGGATCATACAATTTTTGTGGCACTGAGCACATTTCCCTCCATAATCTTATTACAGTAATATGAAAATATATATTACATATTAAAGTATTTCTACATAACATTTTTTTTAGGTTGTCTGTCTCTTTATTTATTGCAGTTGTAATTTTAAATCAACTATTGTGTCCATACTGGGTGATATTAATGTATTACAGTAATCTATGAGATCAGAATGAGAATCATCAGAATAACCAAAAAACACCTCAAATGTAAAATATAACATACCTTACAGTCTAAAAGCTAAATAATGCTCCCAAAAATAGGCTTCATTTTCTTTACACAAAAAAATAAATAAAAAATAAATAAATAAGGTGCAATATGACCTGGACATTTCTGCTATGAGATTCACTCAGTTAATAGAAACATACAGCTAGCAAACCAATTTTTGGACACTTTACAAAAACAAAGCTTTGGAGGGGTGATTTCATTGGATTATTTATTTTCACTACATCTGTCTGGAGCTTGCAATATGCCTCCAACACAAACAAGCTGGGCACTGAACCATTAGTATATAATATAAATCAAAACACAACTTGATGTTCCTGGAAACTCACACTCACCAACATTTATCCTCATCAATTATGTATAATGGCTTAAACAGCATTTCCACCCATTGCCAAAATGTCTCAATAAAAAATATAAATATCTTGTTAAAAAAATAGCAGACCAATTCCATTACATATAGAATATACATTTCTCTGTAAAATGGTTTTATGAAAAAGGCGCATTAATCAGCTGTAGTGGGTGGTATTTTTGGAGCAGCTTAGCTTTGGATTTAGGGTGGATGAGGTGAGAGGTGTCACAGCGCTGTCCCATCGCCCTGTTTTTTTATTTTGGCCTGACTTTTGGTCTTGTTCAGTCTTCTTTTACCCTGGAAGGGTCTATCTCAACCTGGTCCAGTGAGTCTGATTCCGTCCGGCACTTTTTTGTTGGCCTGTCGAGACCCTGGCAGTCCTGTTGGTGCTCCACCGAGACGTTTCTGTCTGTGTTGTGGGTGTCTGTAAGCTTATAGCCGTTGGAGTCTGGATGATCTATTAGTAGACTGTGTATAGACGCTCCATTCGCCTGGACAGATTCAATCTTCACCTCGCTCACACTGCTCAACATCTGTGTGGGATCTGCACTGGACCTGTGACTGGTGAGTCCTAAATTGGGAACCGGAGAGATACACTATACTACATAGCTGTAACAAATGGTTCAAACAAACCACATACAACATGAATTCAACCTGATTTCAACAAAGTATCCTGAAATATGCACCAAAGCAATTCAATCTAATTGTAAAAAAACAACAACAACAACAACACTATGCACTTTACCGTTGTGACTGGTAGTCTCCTCTCGCTCAGATTGGCTGGTGCTGCTGCTAGAGGCAGCAGGAAGTGGTGTGGTTGCTCGACTGGAAGCAGTGCTTTCTGTCTCATCTAAAAGTCTGTCCATGTATTCTAATTGTAAAAAAACAACAACAACACTATGCACTTTACCGTTGTGACTGGTAGTCTCCTCTCGCTCAGATTGGCTGGTGCTGCTGCTAGAGGCAGCAGGAAGTGGTGTGGTTGCTCGACTGGAAGCAGTGCTTTCTGTCTCATCTAAAAGTCTGTCCATGTAATCCCTAAACAAATAAAACAATGAACACACACCTTACACGGAGAAACAGCAGGACCTCAGGAAACATTACGACCAATTCACTACTATGAATCAAACTCTCCAGGGCTACAGCAGTACGCTTGGACGTCTTTTCCTCTGTAACAAATTATTACTCATTACATTCTTCATACATGCAATAACAAAACTGGATGATATGGACAATAATACAGTAATGAGCTAAACAAAACTGGCCCCTTTTACCCTACCATAAACATATGACTTGTATGCTTGTATTTTAGCTGGACTGCATTTACATCTTCATTCCAATGCATATCAAGTGTGGTCGGATAGAGCAGGGGTTCCTTATGCATCAGTTATGCATATGCGTCAGTTTGACCGAATGAGCTCTAATGAGTTATATTGCAGATTAGGGCAGTTGTGGCCTAAATGTCAAATTGAGACATTACAGAGTCGGACTTGTAACCCAAATGTTGCGGGTTCAAGTCTCAGGCCTGGCAGGAATTGTCGGTGGGGGGAGTGAATAATCAGCACTCTCTTCCACCTTCAATACCACGACTGAGGTGAGACCCTTGAGCAAGGCACCGAATCCCCAACTGTTCCGCAGCACATGGCTGCCCACTGCTCCGGGTGTGTGTTCCCTGTATGTGTGTGTTCACTACTGTGTGTGTGTGCACTTGGATGGGTTAAATGCAGAGCACAAATTCTGAATATGGGTCACCATACTTGGCCACACGTCACTTCACTCACTCAATAAATTTCCCTTCATGTTCTATTTTCAGGCATTAAGAGAATAACATAATTCTTGGTATATTAATGTGACATGCAATATTCCCTCTAATTTTTTTCTTGCTGAGCAAAACTTTGGGCAGCAGTGGCATTCCGTCCATATAAGCTGCGAATGCTCAGCATACCCAGGCCAATTGAGAGAAAAAGTTCACGGGATAATTCATATAAACATGATTATATGTTGATCCCTTGTCATTTGAAATGTAACTTAAAGCTTAAAGAGTTAGGAATAAGTACGTAAAATGATTTTATTGCCAAATGGCAGTAATTTTCTGTAAATCTACGTCAGTTATGGTTGCTTCCGGGCGAGCGGATTCTCCGCAGCTTTCTCGCCTCAGCTCTGTTGCTATGACTCGTCAGGATTATAGTGCGTTCTCAGTGATTTGCTGGTCAGATCTAATGCGCGAGGTAAACTGTTTGCAAAGCACTCGCCCAAGCGGAAAAATGCACTGTTGCTGCCAGATCTCGATTGCCGACAATTATTTACATTGTTTGATGCAAAACCAACTCGACTAAATCAAAAGAAAAACAACACTAACTATATATTTTTATTTTATCAAGCAAAGCAAATGTTAAAAGTCCACTGAACAACTTACATTTTTGGTCATAGTGTATGTTGAAGATATACGTTATTGTCAACGTTATTGCCTAAGCGGTAAATAAATAAAATATGTTTATAAAAATGTGGGCTATATAAAATTTTAATAACAAACATCATATTGTTTTGCGTATGCTCGTGTTGCTTACAGTTGAAGTCCTTCTCTGATTTTATTATTGTTTGCAAGGTTGCAACGTTACTTTGCAATATTTTAAATACTTTTGGGTGTTTTGCATGGTCTGTTATGTCACCCGGGTAGGAGTTTTAACTCCTATTCACTGTAAATAAAAAATAATTTAGCTGATGCAGAGAGACATAGACCGGGGGAATCCCCCCCATCTCCCCACCCTCTGATTACTGTATCATAACATAACGTGTAAACCTTATTTGGGCGGTTTTTACTTGGAAAACCAGCTATATTTTTCTTGCATTCGAATAACAATGGATAAACCTGAAACGATAGAAGTATTGGAGATGAATCTAATTTACAAATAAGGTAGGAATTGTGCATACTTTTAAATCGACACCTGCCACGGTGTTTCTTATTTGTCATCTGTGATCCCTTTTGAGAGTCCTAAAAACTGGTGGTGGAGGGGGGCGGACATTTTGGCCACCTGAGCAAAAACATTCTTTATACCAGACTGTACAGTGCACACACAAAAAATTGTGTAACTTTTAAAGGGGACATCAGATACAAAATACAAAAAACACATATAAATGTGTCTTAGCAGTGTGTGGACACAACCCCCCTACAATGATAAAAATCCATTCACTCCTTTTTTTTGTCCCCAAAAAACTTAGTCTCAATTATCAAGCCATTTTGACTGGTCCGTCCTTAGGGGGGTGCAACTGGTGCGGCCACACTGGGCCCCGGGGCCAACATACAGAGGAGGACCTCACACATCCCCATGCAGTAGAGTTTAACACTACTACACCTGTGTGTAACTGTAAATGCCCATCATCTTCAACTTCCACTACTTAATTTAATTTTGAAGCCTTCTTTTTATCATGTAGAATTATTTATAGTGATGCTCTAGTCAGGATTTTTACAGACATTAATTCAGGGCCTGAATTTCATTTTTGAAGATGGGGGGAATTCCCCTCTTAGTCACTCTTGTGGGGCAGATTTTTTTATTTGAGGAGAGCTTTTTTTAAATTTTTTTTTTTTACATTTTTCAAAAATATATAATTATCTCATCTAAATGTTTGATCATGCAGTGCATTTTTGTTTTTATAATGGGGCAATTGTTGCACGATAGCTTACACACAGCACAAGTTTGATTTTGTGAACTGTATGTGAGGCGGCCTTACGCCAGGTTCACACATACTCCGTTTTCAGTGAGTATAAGCAGTCCATGTGCGGTACGTAAGCAGTGCAGAAGCAGCACGGACTCATATTCTGCTTTCACACAGGATCGAGTCCGCTTTCACACAGGATCGAGTAAAACATTTATCCCTTTTGATTCTGTTGCGCATTGTGATTCTGTTTTTACGCAGTAAAATAATACAAGTGACTCTTGTGGGGCAGATTTTTTTATTTGAGGAGAGCTTTTATTTTTTATTTTATTTTTTTACATTTTTCAAAAATATATAATTATCTCATCTAAATGTTTGATCATGCAGTGCATTTTTGTTTTTATAATGGGGCAATTGTTGCACGATAGCTTACACACAGCACAAGTTTGATTTTGTGAACTGTATGTGAGGCGGCCTTACGCCAGGTTCACACATACTCCGTTTTCAGTGAGTATAAGCAGTCCATGTGCGGTACGTAAGCAGTGCAGAAGCAGCACGGACTCATATTCTGCTTTCACACAGGATCGAGTCCGCTTTCACACAGGATCGAGTAAAACATTTATCCCTTTTGATTCTGTTGCTCATTGTGATTCTGTTTTTACGCAGTAAAATAATACAATCTTTCAAAGACGTGTTTAAACGCAATAAATATAAGCAAGAGTATGTGTGAACCTGGCGTTATGTGTGCGCACTATGAGTGTGCATGAGCGCACCGCCTCTAGGAGAGCGTGCGCAAGTGCTGAATGGTTTACACACTGGAAAGTATTAAAAATAAATGAAAATTGGAAACTGATGACGCAACACTGCCTCGATTGTGCAAGTGACAATTCGTGTGAACTGTGCAGCTCGCTTATAGTGCAGACTAGGGATGCTCCGATCCGCAAATAAATGTAGAATTTATATATCTCTGTGTGTGGAATTGATAATCATTCTTTCACAACCTACTAGATACAGACTACTTCATTATAAAGAAAAATTAAATAAACAATAAATATGAAAAAGTATAGGCCAATGTTTATTTATAATCTATGACAAAAATGTATCATAAACTAGGTTAGTGGATAATTCGGCAGCAAAAGTTATTCTAGAAAAATCAGTGCACAATAATTTTAGAAATCCAAACATTTAGTGAAAAAACTATTTTGTGGGGAACAAATAAAAGTGTTGCACTAAATATGGTAAAATGTTACACATTGCTATTTGTATTATAAAATCCATTCATTAAAAACAAATATATATGTTTAAGTATATACTATAAAATTAAAATACATTTCTTTTAAGTGTATAGCATATTTTTTAATAAGACAACAACATATGATAGATACGATAGGACAAAACAAATACAGTGCAGCACAAACTGTTTTTATACAGTCTATGAGCACGAAGCACTTACAATGTGCGCATCCAGTGTGCAGAATGATGCGCTTGAAGCAACATGCCGTCACAGCCTGATGCCGTGTTGCTTCAAGCGCATCATTCTGCACACCGGATGCCCACATTGTAAGCGCTTCGTGTTAAAAACTGCAAAGCACAAAGGGAAGAGAAATTGATGCGTACTGTATTATATCTGTGCAACAGTTATTGAGCCTTTCTTTTAACAGTTTTAAATTTCAGTTACTGTGCACATTAAAAACAATGTATAGTCTTTTCTACGCCCGTGTTTTGTTCTCACAGACACCCGGTACCAAGGAACAAAACAACATTAAACTCCGGCAAGAAGATAAAGTAATTTTTGCTAAATCATAGACATATATTTACAAATCAAGTATAATGGGAACACAGAATGATCTTAGAGAGAGCTTTACCGAGCTGACTGCTGTAACCAAACGCGACCAGGGTTTAAAGGCTGAACGAATGACTGACAGCCACAGCGGAGAAAAGAGTTTGTGTGAACTTTAATGTAAGGATAAATTTCAGTTACTGTGCACGTTAAAAACTATTGATAGTCTTTTCTACGCCCGTGTTTTGTTCTCACAGACACCCGGTAGCAAGGAACAAAACAACATTAAACTCCGGCAAGAAGATAAAGTCATTTTTGCTAAATCATAGACATATATTTACAAATCAAGTAAAATGGGAACACAGAATGATCTCGGAAAGAGCTTTACCGAGCTGACTGCTGTAACCGAACGTGACCAGGGTTTAAAGGCAGAACGAATGACTGACAGCCACAGCGGAGAAAAGAGTTTGTGTGAACTCTAATGTAAGGACTTAAATATTCATATGTAGCTCACATTAAGCTATCGTATGGCTTCAGAAGTAACACAGAACAATTTGCACAATCGAAAAAAAATAAATAAATAAATCTCGGATTTGGATCGGCCCTCTCTGACCGATACGCGATCTGATAAAAATGGCAATATCGGAGCCGATACCAGATATGAATATCGGATCGGCGCATCCCTAGTACATACATCAAATAACCTTTATTATATAGTGGTTTATATAAGCAAAGCAGCTTCACTGTAATAAACAGGAAAGTAACAGAATCAATGATG